TGGAGGGTGGCAGCTCCCTCCTGCCCTCTGGGAGCCTGCCCACGGCCCCACGAGACAGAGCAAAGCACCCCTGGGAGGCTCCCCAGCCCTGCGACTGCCCCAGGCGTGGAAGGCTCCCAGAGAGGAACCAGCAGGAGCCTTGGCCCCGTGCGTGGACCTCAAAGCAGACAAGAGGAGGAGAGGAGGGATTTTGGAGCCAACGCTCAGGACGTCAGAGCGGCACTGTGAGCAGTGACCAAGCCCCCATGAAGAGCTGAGGGCAAGAGGGAGGCCATTCGTTTGAAGAGGTGCATATATGTGTAATGAGCCCGAGGTCAGGTCACTGGTATGGTACTGCAACACCGCGGGCACTGTGGTGACATCCCCCACAAGAGGAGCCCCAAACTTCTCTTTCCTCCCTGTGCAAGGTTGGACTCTGCAGGCTCTGTCTACATGAAAAGGAGAAGCCAGTTCCCACAAAGGATAGAGATGGAGGGTCCCCATTTGCTAATGCATCATCTGAATTTCTCTTGAGAGCTGGGGCCATCCTTGCTGCTGTCATGTTCTTTATGGAACTGGCATGTTGGGAATATGGAAAAAAGGAGCTAACTGAAACTGGAAAAAAGGGTTCTTTTCATAAACAGAGGTGTCTGGGAGCAGGGAACCAGTGGAACAGATGCACAAGCAATGCTGTCAGGGCCACTGTTTGCTGGCTTCTCCGGGAAAGAGCTAGGAGGGGCACAAAGAACCAGCATGTCTTGGTCCCTGTCACCCCACGGAGAAGACTGTCCTCAAAGAGGGCACAGGGCATGCAGGTAAGGGTCTCACTCCCCTCAGAGCTAAAAAGTAGGACTGCACTGTAGGAAGAACCCCAAACCCCCAGACAGAGGAGGTGCTTCCAGCCATGCACTGAGGAAAACTCAAAGGAACGACGCAACTCTCCCAGAAGATGGGTTTTCAGAAAACAAATGAAACCACAGCCTTCTCTGTGGCAGGAACCAGAAGCAAGCATGCAAGAAGCACAGGAAACTGTGGGAGGCCACCCCAGCAGACACGTCACCAAATGCTGCACACCAAGCCACAAAGTCTGCCAAACCCCAAGCTGAACAGACCCGGGGAGGAAGCCCAGAGGGGAGGGAGCACCCACCACCTCTCCGGGCAACTCCACAGCACAAGAAATCTCAGTGCTAAGACAGAAAAAGCTTGTGCTCATCACAGCCAGATATTCACCTGGACTGGCTGGGAACTGCGGGCCATCACAGCTTTCCCTTCCCCGCTCTCCCCCAGGCTGCCTGCACACAGCTCCAGCCAGGGAGGGTCCTGGCGAGGCCTGGGGGACCACGGGGAGTCTGTACCTGGTAGCCAATGATCTCCCCTCTGCAGGAGGGCAGCGGCTCCCACCGCAGGGACCCCGTGCTGGCATCCAGCCACAGCTTCTCCGGTTTGTCCGGCACTGGAAGCACAGGAGGACGGGGTCATGCGTGGGGCCAGCGAGGAGGGGCTGAGCCCAGAGCAGGGTGCAGGCAGCTCCTGGCCCAGGGCATAGGCTGCAAAGGGACACCCCCAAGCAGAGTTTGTCCCCTACAAAGGCCGCATGTGCCGCAGCAGCAGCAGCAGCAACAGTGTGGGGAGGAGGAGACATGTGCTTCAGGGCTCTACACAGCCCCTTCCCCAGAGCCCCACAGGCTCCAAGCCACCCCAAAGCCAGGACCATCCCTGCAGGGAGAGGACATTTATCCACCTCCCCTACCTGTGACACAGCCCGGGACCATCCTCTCTCTCTCATACTCCTGCGCACGTACCCGTTTCCTTTGTCCGGACCAACCATGTAAAAAGGATCGTGCTGGGTGGCAGGGAGATGGTGACACTGTAGTCAGTGAAGGGCTGCAGAGGGGGACAGGCAAATGTTCCCTCCTGGCCGTGTAGCATCTCTTCGCCCTTCACCTCCTCAGCCTCACAGGATGGGGAGGAAGGCCCTGCCAGACGGCACATAGCCTGCATGTGCTGGCAGGCGTCAGGGACCTTGCAGATCCAGTTCAGTTTGATGCTGGTGCTGGAAGTCTCCAAGGTCCCGGGGACAACCTGGAGGACCTCTGTGAAGGAAACATTGCAAAAGGGTCACATCCTTCCCTTCCCCTCCCAGCCATGCAAGGGTTCTGCAGTCAGACAGCCCTGCTCCCCACCCAGGCAGGAGGGAGGGGAAGCGAGAGGCTAAAACTGGTCACTCCAGCTCTGGTAGGGCATCAGGAGGAGTCTGGACAGGAGTGAATGTAGGTGAATGTGTGGACTGCTATTGCTCAAGGCAATTTTCCCCATCAAGTGAAAACTGTGGTGTCTGTGGGTCCCAGCATCTCTACAGTCTATCAGATGCAGCTCTTAGAAAGACCTACCCCTTTTCTGCTCTGCACAGACCCCAGGAGAAAGGTTCTTTTTCACTGGCAGTATAGGGAGAGATGGAGCTCTAGGACACCATACGGAGTAGCCCTCCTACACCACATCTTCAAGAAGGGGACGAGGAGGAAAATGGGCCCTGCACTGCTTCCCCCAGGCCTCCCAGGGAAGGCCAGGAGCAGGACCTCGAGGGTATGGCACACCCACGAGAGGCTCGTACTCTGCACAAAGCTTGCACAGTGACTGATGGACCAGCATTTGACCCTGTTGCCTTATGGCATCATCTAAGAAGCCAGGCCTATTTTGTGCCTTAGGAACCTGCTACATGAAGTCAGAAAAGCACCCAAGGGCACCAGTGTGACACCCTGAAAGCCTGGGCCATGCATGGAACTGTCCCCAGGGGGGCTCTCACAGGACAAGCATCTCCCTTCCCTCCCACAGAGCTCCCCACACTACCCATGCCCACAGCTGCCTGCAGGGAACCAGCCCTGAGACCTCTTGCTGTGTCCCAGGTCTCAGAGCACTCAGTGAGCTGGGGAGCAACAGAGGACTATTGTTTTCATAACTTCAGGGACCTCTCACAGCGTTCCCAAATCAGCTTACTATTGCCCTGTTCTGCCTAGGAGGGGACCTCAGTCCCCCAAGCTGTGAGACAATGGTGCCAACCCTGTGCCCACCATCTCACAGAGCCCAGAGGGGACCAACCCAGGGGAGCAAGCTGTGACACTCGCAGCTGCACAGCCCGAGAGGACACAGGCAGCAAAGCCTCTGATCCCCCTGTCCAAGCCATGATGCCATGCAGACCACAAACTCCACCACACATAGCTCTCCCATGCTTCTCTCCTTTGCACACACGCAGTTGCCAGAAGCCTTCAGCAAGAGCTTTTTCCCCTGCCCCTCCAGCAGGAACATCCCACCACCCACTGGTGAACCACAGGCTGGACTTGGGGCAGGCTCAGGGGCTGCCTAAGTAATGCCTTCACCAGCACCTACCGTTTTCTCAGACAGGCAGAGAGCCTGAAACATCCTGTGCACACCCAGCCTGCCTTCCCCTGCTTAGGAAGGGCAGAACGGGGCAGCCAGGAGAGCCCCTGATGCCTCCCTTACCAACACAATCCACGTTGGACTGAATGCGGGTCCAGACACCTCTGCTGTCCCTTCCACGCCAAACCTCTCTGTATACAGGTTTCCCATGACTGATGGACTGGACTTCCATCACACATTTGACATGGGTGAAGGACGGCTGGAAACCATCAATGCAACTCAGCATCACTTCTTCATTCTTCTTGTAATTCTCCTGGTCTGGTGTCAGCCGGAGTCTTGAGTCCCATTTGGGTCTTTGGCACGTTTCTGGCAGAGGTGAAAGTGGGTGTTAGTTGGGGCGGGAGGTGATGAGATGGGACAGGGGTGGGGGGTGGAAGAGAAGTCCCCATCAATCCGTCTAGCCCCTGAAGGGAGAGGGAAAGTGACACATCCATCTGCCAGGATGTGACCCGCAGGCAAGGTGTGTTGGGAGGGGGCTGTCCTTGTGCACCTGAAGCATAAATGAACACTCACCCGTGAACCTCCCCCATCCGCCCTTGTGTCCAGGGATGCTGTATTCCCTCCTCCAGAGCCCACAGCAAGGAGTCTCCCAGGACAGCCACTCCTCCACCTCCAGCCACTCACTCAGACACGTCACCCACCCCAGCTCAGGCTGCTCTTGATGGGCCATGGTCCACCAGCCCTGCTGGGGTGCATGTCTCTCCAGCCATGGCTTCTCCCTCCCACAGGGATCCGAGATGCCCCTGTTACACTTCTGGGGTCCCTGTGCCAGCTCAGTCAATCCCCCAAGTACTCTCCTCCCCCATGCCATCATGCAGCGGGACACAGGGATAAGCAACGCCTTCTCCATTCACATCCCCTGCTTTACCACAGCCCCTGCCCCTTTTCCCTGCCACAAGCCCTGCTCCCTCCTCCACATCCCCTCCTCACCGCATTCACCATCCTCTGGGCTGAGCAGGCACAGCCCATCCCAGCAGTTTGCTGAGTGCTGCGGGGGGAGGCTTTGTGGCAATGATTCCTGTGGGCAGGGATGCTGGCACCTGGGAAGGAGCACTTCCCTCTTCCAGCCTCTGCAGGGGGCTCTGGGAGGCCTCAAAGTGCTTAAAATACAAACATTCTTCTCCCAGAGGGGCAGAGAAGGGGTCTCACAAGGTTCAGACCATCTTCTGAACAGCCATGAAGAAACCCAGATATGCCAGCAAACAAGCCACAGAACCACGTTACACAGGACTTCGTCCAGGCTTAGGCTCAGGCTTTGCTCTCAAACAACCGTGACTGCAGAAGGCAGGAGGTGCCCAGCTGAGCACAGCAGCCAGCAGCCCTGTCCCACCAACACGCCGCCACAACCCACCCCAAGCACCGGCACCCAGCCGCCCCCATGGCCGGGCCCATCCGGCTGGCACGGCGGCAACGAGTTCCTTCTTGCTCTGCTCTCAGCAGGCACAGCGTCTCTTGGGCGCAGCTGGGGATAGGGTGTGTACAGAACGCAGCAGCCCCACTTCCTGAAGACCCTTCCCCTCATCCACGATGCATGGATTCTTGCCCGATTCATGCCTGCAGCTTCCAGGTAATGACTGGCAAACTGGCTCGGTGCAGGGCATGACCCATCCCCGACTGTCCAGCCCAATCCCACCCTTCCCCCAGCACCCCCAGCGCACCCACGCCAAAGCTCTTGCCCCATGGGGTCTCCCAAAAGCAGCAGGCACCCCAGCTGACACAGCCCTCAGGGGTTCGCCTGGGCTCCAGCCCAGGGCTGCATGCAGTAAAGCCACGTATCAAACTTGCAGAGGGAGGAGCAGCAAAAGCTCTCCAGGGGAGAGGAGGAACCACTTCTTACCTGTTTCCAAGGGAACTCCTTGGACTTTGGGATCCAGTTCTTCCTGGCCCTGCACTGCCGGCGGAGATACAAGCACCAGGAGAAAGCTCAGAGCCAGCAACGGCAGGGCCATGCTACCATGAAGTCCCCGGGCAGGAGCTAAATCTCAGCGCCACTGACTGCCTCTGCACCCAGGCATCTGTAACTGGCTGAAAGAATTGCAGACACAGGAAGGAAACAGACACATGGGGAAATCTCATGAGGTACAGGAGGCTTCCTCTTTGGGAGGGAACCTCCCATCAGTGTCACTGCTGCTACCTTTTGCTGTCTTTTTTCCCCAGGTGCATCCAGGCTCTGGTATTCAATGGAAGAACCTTGTCACCAGGATCCCCCCAAAACCCTCTTAGTGACCAGAGTGCATTCAAGAAGCACTGTTCCTATTTCTGAGGCAATATCCACATGCTTCCCAGCACCACCACATGGGTGTTGGTCATGATGAGTCACTGTACTTCCCCTCAATGACCACAGGAGGTGGAGGACCTCTGAGAAAGCACACAAAGAGCTGACAAGAAGCAGGGATGGGAATGGGGATGTGAACTGCAAGGAGCACCTCAAAGCCTGAAATACTCTCCTCTGTCCCCAAGTGTGCAGACCACCCTGCCCTCCAGTGCCAGCTGAGTGCCCGAGGAAACCCTCAGAGCTACTAAACCATGCCCCTTGCTCCGGCTTTTCTCTTCCTCCAGAACCTCCCATGGGCCCACCTGGGATGTCTCAGATCCCAGAGGGCTGGGTGATCAGACATGGGGGGCTGTGGAGGAGCAAAGACCATGCTTGTCCCTCAGCTTTGCCCACAGCACATGCACAGGACGCACTCCTGCCCAGGATGTACTGGGGGGAGCACCACCACTCACTGGTTCCCAGCACACACCAAACACACATCAGAGCTGCCCGGCACAGCCCCGAAGGCCTGCGGAAGGGG